TCATAGTGTATGGGCCCTTTTTAACAAATCCTTTTAGCACTTCAGCTTTCATACTTTACAGCCCTTCTTCATGAGTTTCCCGAGTTTCTGTTAGTTTAATTTAGATGGTTGTTAATATCCTAATCAGCGGTCTACTTTTATGCTTCTTTACAAGAATATTTGGACAAGATGAGTAAACTCTTTCCTCTTACTTTGGTTAAATGGATCATAAGTAGAAGCTTCTGTTGCTAAAATTTATCCTTTTGACAGTTTATTGCTGCTTGTAAGAAGCCACCTGTGTACTGTATCATCACAGAATACATGTCACAAGGGACTCTGAGGATGTACCTGAACAAGAAAGAGCCATACTCACTTTCAACAGAAACGATACTGAGGTTAGCTCTCGACATATCCCGAGGAATGGAGTATCTTCATTCACAAGGTGTGATCCACAGAGACCTCAAATCAAATAATCTGCTTCTAAATGATGAAATGCGGGTTAAGGTGGCAGATTTTGGTACATCCTGTCTAGAAACACAGTGCCTAGAAACTAAAGGAAACATGGGGACTTACCGCTGGATGGCACCAGAAATGATTAAAGAGAAACCCTACACTAGGAAAGTCGATGTGTACAGCTTTGGGATTGTATTATGGGAGCTAACAACAGCTTTGCTTCCCTTTCAGGGAATGACCCCTGTGCAGGCTGCATTTGCTGTGGCTGAAAAGGTCAGATATATATAGCAAGATTCAAATTCTTCTTTTGTTGTTTGGGACTGATGCTTCTAGTTTTTTTGCATGGATTTCTCTGGCTTTATTGAACCTGCTCCTGCTCTTTTCCAAACCATGATTTTTTGGTGGGCATAAGATTAAGAGTCAAGTTGAGAGATTATGATCCTACTGAAGCAAACTAGTTCCATGGATGATTTATTAAGTGCTTCTTAAAGTTTCTAGTGGATTCAATAAGAGTTGCATTAGACCCCTTTTTCAGGCCATTAGATTACATTTTGAAGTGCTTCCAGTAAAAAAAAGCTGAACACTTCTCATGCATGTTTTCTGTATTGAGGTGAACTGCTCCTAATCTTAGCCTGATAAAACCTCTGGCCACCTAGTACTTACAAAGCTATTTTGTCTTCAGATTATATAGGGAGGAGGTTAAATAGGAGGTTTAAGGAACAAATAGTACCATAGGAAATAGAATTTGAAAGGTATATGCCACAGGAAACGGAATTTGAACTGTAAATACTACACAATCTCATACTTTTTCAGTTACACATAAGAGAACATGAGGTGGGTTCTTACAGTACAGTTGATATTTCAGTTATTGTGCATTTGTAAAAGCCTGTTCCTGTTGCTTAACCTTATGATGCATCGAAGTCTAATTCCAATAATGCAGAGACTTGATGGTGGTTCCTCTAATCTTGATACTCTGTGTTGGCAGAATGAACGGCCTCCACTGCCGGAGAGTTGTCAGCCTGCACTTGCACACCTCATAAAGCGCTGCTGGGCAGCAAACCCTGCAAAGCGGCCAGACTTCTCGGACATTGTTTCTGCCTTGGAAAAGTATGATGAATGTGTTAAGGAGGGCCTCCCATTAACTTCCCACTCAGGGCTGGTCAGCCGCAATGTCATTCTTGAAAGGTTAAAGGGATGTGTATCTATGAGCTCTTCTATACCTGTACATGCCTGACTCTAGTAGAAGGTATCTCTATTTGTCTTCCCTCTTTTAAGGTCAAGATTACTTCATAATAATTTGTACATAGTTGATGTTCTTTCAATTATCTAAGGCTGGAGGGTGCTGCTGTCGCATTAATACGAGTTACATAGAGTTGATTTAGGATTTGAACCCACTATTCTATTGTTTCCTCCTTGATTAGTCATTTTCAATGTTAGGTATTCAGCTTTCACCAAGACATTACTTTATAAAGGAAACCATATGAACAGAACAGCTTCGGTGATAAGTAAGTTTGATATTGTCTTTGATCACATAAGTTGGGATCTAGTGTAAAATGATACTGTTGTTTCTATGTTTTCCTGATTGATGAATCATTTCTCTTAAGAGAATTCCCATTTTAATTGTTGCATTATAATTTCTAGAGTGTTCTTGGAGAAGAAAAATCGATCACTGATTTTAGCAAGGCTTTTGCCTAGCTGCTTCCTTGCTTCGAAACAGTTGAAGATAAACAGATACTCCCCGCCTAGGCTCTGATTTGCATTCTCCATTGCTAAAGAAAGGAGGAGAGAAGCCGAAGTGATTTTCGAACTTCAATTACACGTGAGAAGAGAAATCTTCTTCTTCACACTCTATATCTTCAGCCTAACCTGGATGATTAATCATGATCCTTCACCATGAGAGATTGCATTTGTTAATCACATAGTGTTCAGCAAGTCTTCACCTTGTGTTTAAAGGGTCTTCTTCTTTGAACTAGTAACTTCAAAACACTTTGCTACTATTAAAAGAGAAAGGTTAGAAGAATCAAGAAAGGCTCAGGTAGGTGTTGCCTGCAAGTAAACAATCTTAAGCATGCTGCCTATATCACACGCATGCCATTAATAAAGTAAACGGTGCTCGAGCTACCCTTGAATTATTCTAGATTATTATATTCTATATATAAAAAAAAGAGTAAATTACAATACTTATTATCTTGATTATCTGCATGATATATTTGTGTGTTTGTGCGTGTGCTACACTTTTTTTAACCCTTAATTTACGTCTAACATCATCATAAGTAAGTTGGAAGAAGACCAAATATATATTTTGTTTTTAACATGAGACTAAGACCACGGTGAGAGATAACGACCTAATGGAGATTCAATGATTGATGGATTTGTTATTTTATTTTCTGTTTACCCATCTTGGGAGAGAACGATTCAAACCCGGCTGGCTGACTTGGAAGAGGCTGTGGGTCCTTTTACACATTCAAACCTGAAGTGGCAAGAAAAACCCGGTTGTGCTTCTAAACCTAGACATCGTGGACTAACCTGGTGGTCCTTACCTCCCCTAGAATATGTAGACCAAATTGAGATAAGATCTTTGACCCTTGACTGAGTCCACACTGGTTGTGCGTTTCCCACGAAAAGTCAATTTCATTTCCTTGGATTGGTGCTCACGCAGCTAAATGAATTGACAGCCCCAAGCTATAGGGATTTAAGTTTTGTTAATCAGGACCCCGTTTTTCACTTCCCTGTTTCTTAGGACTTGAGTCTGATCAGGATTTGAGCAGCAGAAACTCTAGCACTCTGCAGTCTGCAGTGTGCACTGATCTCATCTATCCCACTCTTGTTACATGTTAAAACCTTTCTGACCAACTCTGTTTTCTGGGGAAAACAAAACCCATAGTGAAATTTTGGAGTTATTCTTGTGCAAGCAATGGAAAAATTGGAAATGACACCAGTAAGATACATCAGAATGGGATCTTAGAAAAGGAGCATAGCTTAACAATGAAAATGCTTAGTTCCACCACTGGAAAGGCCAAACGCAAGGAATTTGAGGCTGCTGACAAAACATAAATGACAAGTGTGGGGTGGTGTGGCTGTAAGCAGAGTGTGGTTTACTTAGGAGAAGGGGAATATGTGCCATAGGGGTCACCGAGACTTGAGCCAGTTTGTCCCCTCTTCCTGTATTTATTGGCCAAAAACACAAGGCAGGCAGATGCGGTTCTCTAAGATACCACTGTTTGCTTTGCTGTTTATATAATTTAATACAGGGGAAGAGACAAGTACGTGGCCAATGGGTGCAAAATTTCATAGCATAAAAACAAAAAACAAAAGATGTTCTGTTCCCCTTTTTGACTAAATAACTCCTCCACCCTCTAAGCTTGGTTTGAACTTTTTTTTTTTTTGAAAATTAACTTTGATTCATTGCATATAAGCTTGGTTTGAACTAGAATTTTGAATTTGACCCATTCCCTCTGCTTTCCAATCTAGCCTATAAATCAAATTTAATTATAGTCATAGATCATCTAATCATATCTCATTAACATAATTCGAACAAAGTTTAGTGTATTCATAGACTTTTTTGGAAATATCCCAATACTTACACTAAAATTGACTACCATTTCTCTAAATAATCACAATAATGACATATCTCGCATAATCGCCATGATACACCCCTTTAGTTCCATACATGTGCGGGTTCATATTATATAAATCAATGATTTCTTGAACATGATGATTAAAATTTTTATAGTGAGAGGAATGATTTGATCGAACACGCGAAAAATAAAAAATTTTATAAGATAATTTGATAAAAAGGTTAGAAGAAAAAAAAAAGAGAAGTATTTGGTAAGAGTGACAACAACAAATTTGTCACAACTTATGGAAAGAATAAGTGGCCTTGGGGAACAACGAAAAGGGGTTTGGACTGGAGTCATGAGTGGGGGCACTTTACGTATATTATTTGGGGGCACTTTCCTTCAATCGAAGCCTTACTTTTGCCGACCTCGTTTATTGCCCACACCCACACAGGGGCACTGCCTTCATTTTCAATTGCGGTCTCTTCCATGCATGTATGCCCTTTCTTTTTCAAGTCCCTAAACAGCCACTCTCTTGCTTCACTCACTTTCATTCATCAGTTGGACAAAGTCCAATGAACTTAAGAGGAAAGGTTACGGTAATTACACATTCTGTCCAAGGATTTCCAGCATTTTGGACAAGCTTTGGTGAACACTGTCGTTAAGTAACCACCATGAATCTTGCTTGGCACTGCCATGTTTTTCATGCTTGTAAGAAAAGATGCTAAGTGCTGATAACCCTGGCAGCAGGGAGAACAAGCAAAACGAAAGAACATATTCTTTTATCTTGTATGGATCATCATATACTCAGCAAACATAGAGATTGCAGGGCATTTGCAGTACTGAGAATCCTAAGTTGAGTGTGATGAATCATGCATATGGCCAACTCGTAACTGAATTCAATTTTTTGAATCCCCAAGAACATTCATAGGTACAAAATGTTCAAAGAAATATGAAGCATGACAGAAGAAGAGGTCAGAAACACAGAACACAAGGAATCAATTTGCTTCACAGTGGGAAAAATGATAAATTTGTTACCATCAGTTCCACTGATCATGAGTTGATAACTAATCTGAATATAGTATGTTTTATACAGAGAGCTTAAGCTAGAAAATGGAAGGACAAAGATAAAAATCTTTATCAAAAGGGGTTGCTTCAAGAACAACAAAAACAAGATGATTCAAGATTAAAGTACCCATTTTTACATTGTAAAAGGGCGTAATATACAAAATTAAAAAGAGAGGTAAGAACTTCCTTTTTTTTTTTCTTTCTCTTATGAAGAGGAAAAAGCTGGAGCTAAACCCACCTCTGTTCCTCGATTCTGGGTCTAAATTCATTGGCCCCAAACGTTCCAAATCCTCTCTCCAATGAAGTTCACAAAGCTCCTTACTGAACCCTTCTCTGTTCCTTCTTCACCATCATCCGCACAAACTTCACCACTACTGCTAATGCTACTGCTACTGGTACTCTCTTCCACCGATTTCAACTCACTCGAGTCGTCCTTTCTTAAACTCAACTCGGGTCTTTTCAAACCCCCAGAGCCATCAGCACCACCGCCTTTCTTTTTCCTGTCTTTCTTGCTCTTCGTCTTCTTGCTTTGAGCTAATCCATCTTCAAAAGCATCTATAATCTCGTGAATCAGCTGGCGGTTCGGCGATGAGTCCCACCTGACCCAGTAACTCATGTAGCACCTGAAACAATCACAGGTAAAAAGAGGAGGATGATCATGATCGCTGCTGCTACTGATGCTTCGTTTAGTTGGATTTTTGTGGGTGTTTTTGCGGTGGCTTGAAAAGTTGCCAAAATCGTTGTTAGAACAAGAGATGAGATAGGCCAAGACTTCCCTGTCTTCAGGGGAAAGAGCAGCTGCAAGGGTTAAGATGGTGGCTGGAAGGAAGGACAGATGATCGGTTGTGATTGGTGGTGATGGATGGACCGTGCCTCTACGGTAGAGCTTCTTCATAGTTGAATTTGATGTTGATCAGCCAGAGAGACAGAGAGAAAGAGAAGGACCTTATCCAACAGACAGCACTTCAGAAAGAAAGAACAGAGCTTTAGACTTTGAAGGGTTGATGAGAAATTATTATTCCCTGGCAGATGGAGAGAGAGAACATTGGGGTTGGTGACGTAGTTTATGGGAACCTTGGGGTGCGTTCGAGTGCGACGCGGGTCATAACAAGTGAATGGTGACAATCATCAAGAGTGAGAAATCTGAAATCCGAATCTTGTTGGTCTTATTCGTCCTCATTTGGAGTTACAGTTGGGCAGTTGAGGCACTGATGTGATGGGACCTAATCTCCCATATGTCCCTGCACTGGCCTGCCCCTCTGTACACGTCAATGTAATCAAACAAGGTTGGTGGCCATGGCATTCCCGCATAGGTCCGGCTATACCAGGGGCTTGGCCCAACCATAGACCCAGTGCACTACACAAAAGCCCCGTACTTCAGACTTCAAGGAGCTAGGATCTTAAATTCCAAGTACCATACTTTGTTCAAGATGGACAAGCCGAAAGCCATTATACCAAAGCTTGAGGGATCCTTAAGGCCTAAACTCAGGTCTAAATGTTCTTGAATTTTGACTAGGCACCATTATCCTAATTGTATAAACTAGTCATGAGTCACAACCCAACACTAGCCTCTCTTCGTTCAACTTTTGACAGATAAGAAAATACTGACAATTAATTAGACGCGTAGGAGAATCCCACGGGCCACGGCACATCCCTTCTTCCTTCTCTTCTCCTAGCTTACAATGTCAGTTTAAGCTGCTAGAACTTGTTGGCAAAGTATCAAGTTTCTTTAACATAATATAAGAGGTCAATGCAGATAACAAAGTCAGGCTCTTTGATATGCATGATGAATAGTAGATTCCCTGCTGAATGTGAAGTCAATGCCAGCATGGTTATAGTCGATAAGAGGCATTTCAGGATATCACAGAAGTTCGTTTTCTTTTTTATGTAAATCAAATTTATATGGAAAGTAGGTAATATGTGTTATGAAAGTGAAACGGTTAGATCATGGATGCTTCTCTGCACCCCAAGTATAGAAACTTTTGTTTCAAATAAAGCAACAATACAGAAGTTCACTCTCAACTTTTAATAATCAACATATGAAATAACATACTCAAAAGTCACTCTCCCTTATTTTATAGTATTTAATTAATTAACAATTTCACTCAAAGGAATGACAATAATCCGATACAGTTCTTAAGATAATCAAACCTCTATGAAGAACTCTGTAGACGAGTCTTGATCCATGATTCAAGGAACTGCAGCTCCTCATTGCTTATTGAATGGCCAAGACCAGGATAAGCCTGCAGAATCATAGATGATAAATTTTCGCAGAAGCCACACATAAATGCAACAGAATATCAGAAAAATGTCTAGGATATATACCTTAAACTCACAGCTTACTCCTGCTTGTTCAATGAATGGGGGCCCTGCTTGTCCAGCCTCAAACAGCACGGTTCTGTCAGCCATTCCATGAGACCACAAAATAGGTGTCTGCACAAGTTTCAGGCCTCACACCGTTAAACCAAGAAAAAGTTTTTGTAGGGATATTTCATTGTAGTGAGAAATTCCAATACAGACAGGTTTGTTGTTCTGGAAGAACTCATAATCTCCAAAGGACCGACAGTAGATAACATATATCCATGAAAACATAACAGACACAGTTAGCAATTGCATCCCCATGAATCAGAATGCTAAAGACAGTTCGTAGAAACTGATACCTATTAGTTAGATAGATATTACATATGTGCAAATGTTCTATCTGACAAATATCAATTAATTGTCAAGCATTGAATGCAGACAACAGAATGTTTTCTCTAAACCAAGGCACGAAGATCCATTATATATCTAGTTTAGAGAGGCAAATGTATCATCAAGCAAGACAGGAAAACCAATTGGGTTAAATTATTAACTGAACCAGATACACTAGGTGTATTTGAAGAAAGGCACCTTCTTTGCATCTTCTGGGAATTTTTCAATCATTGAAGAATTGAAAGGAACCCATCCACTAAAGACTGCACCACCTCCAAGCCTTTTTGGGTACAACAGGACACTAGCTAAGGTCAAGGCACCTGCAAAAGGTTGTAATAATTACCATATCCCACAAGTAATGAAATGTATCAATCTTTTGTTCCTCGGATCAAGGCTTCCTACCCCCTTGACTAAATCCACATACAAATACATTATTAGGATCTGTCCCAGCAGCTACTTCCTTGTCTATCATTGTGTGCACATTCTGAACCGCTTTAAGAAGATCACTTTCATCTTTCGGAGAATCCTATACATATAAACAAAACAAAATTAATACCTTACATGGAACCAGCATCACTATAAGCAGAATATCCTCATCATCATAAGAACTCTAGGGATTCAAATGGAAACATCTTTCATCTTAAAACATGTCACAGAAAGTAATGTAAGAGTAAAACCAACTTGGAATGAAGCTTATGAACATTGAAAGAGTAGAATTTAGGTTCAGAAAACAGGCTGACAACAAAATCTTGGAGCTTGTACTTGTGGAAGCTTTGCAGCGTAGTGTTTATATTATGTCAACGTAGAATTAATGTTGAAAGTGAAAAGCTTCTGCAAAGTGCCATATGTGTTATTTTTGAAGAAAAAATATTCAGTCAATCATTAACCATAATAATTCCAAGAGATCACATGGTTGCAACTTCATGGTCCATTACATATTCAGAATGTTAATGTGCCACAAAGCCCACAACTCGTAATGGGTAACTCCAACTAAGCATGCATGCATAAACATAAAAGTCAAGAAAGAAATCAATGGTTGGACAATAAAGACTGAACATCATGTAGCCACATCAGACACTTTTAGAATTACTAAAGCTATAATATGCCATAATGAGGCAATACCACCAAAATTCACTTGCACTTAAGTGTGGGAAGAAACAAAAAGGCAGAAAATCCACTTGGAATTAACAAAGAAATGAACATAATTTTGATTTAAAGAATATGAATGATATCTAAATGAAATCTGAAAGAGAAATGTCCCTGCAGTATATTGAATAGATATAAATGAAAAGGAAGGAAAACAACCATAACTTACAGCTGTCACAGGAATCTCATGGATGTCAAACCAAGAAGGCATCCTCATACCATCTGCAAGGTTAAGGAAATTAGTAAAGAAAGGCATGACATAAAAAAACTCCACCAGGCGAAGAATAAATGCACTATCATAATGAATAATACTTAATTGCCTGTCCTGGACCATGTCATTCTCTAAAGAATAAACCTAAAGTTGATTCATGACACTAGTTATATCGTCTGTGGAGAGATATACAAAACTTTAGGAGAATCTAGCAATTTGTTACAGTATTAGAACCCCAATCCATAAGCCATCAACACACAGTCAAAAGTTGAACATAGACTCTAGTATTGTGACTGATTAAAAGCAGAGACCATCTCATTCATGACAATGTCAATTGCTAAATTCCCATCCAGCTCAAAAACAAACGTGACTAAGAAAGTTTTCCACAGCAATACCAAAAGTTCATGAGGCAGTTTTGACATTGAAAGTATATGTAAAAATTGAACCATCCGTTTTGCTAGGAATTTCTTCTTGTTAGCTCTACTTCATTCTCTCTTCTTAGCATCAAATTAAAACCGGGTTTTCGTACTTGATCCTTGTCAACCACTCCAAATTATTTCTTCATAACGTCAGTATCTACCACAAATTTCTTCAAAATTATCCACCTTAATCAGCTTTAGTCCAATTTTCCCAAAATTTCCCAAGGTATTCACTGCCATAAATTACACTGAAACTCAAACAAAGCTAAGAAAAATCAAACCGATACATACCATTTTCATTCAAAACGCAAGACAAAGTCAACAAGCGGAATCTCAAATCGTCATATATGTATACAATGAGGCTTACAATTGCAGGTGACGGCGTTTTCAGGAGCAGAAGGGAAAGACCATTTGGTGTTTCTGAACTCGGGAGACCTGAAGAGGGTCTTGATGGGTTCATTGGCAGGGCCAGAGTCACCTAGCCCGTGGAGCCAAAGAACAAAGCTTCGAGCAGCCATGGAGTCCGGCTTTCGAGAAGAAGACAGGTGCCTCGGTTGGAAAAATAGTACGAAGATGATGGTGCTACCGAGGGTCACCGCGAGAAGAACTGTCGGCTTCGTTAATAACATAGGCTGCATCTCCGCTCTTCCATGCTGACCCTTTTGTTCTACAATTTCTGCAAACTCGGAAAGTAAGTGAAAAGACTAGAACCACCCCAACGACTTTGCAATAGCAACCAGCAGCCAAGCCCAATTTACCAACCAGAAGTTACGTGTTCTCTAACTCTGAACCAACTAGCCCAGTTGTCCAGTGAGCCTGTTTATGTTGTTCGCTCCATGGGGCTCTGTTTTTGATTCTTTGTCTCTCCTTAATTTTATGAAAATTAAAATAAAAATTTGGAATTTTAATTGAGTTCTCCTACTGCGTTCTTAACAAAATATTGCTGCATTTTTGAATGGGATCCGTCCAAGAAATCAAACAAAGTATGAATAGAATGAATCAACTCAATCAAGTCAAATTTCTTTGTAAAGTTAACACCTTTGCCACTCTAACCCTTCAGTAGAAGAGAACAAACATCCTGTTTTCCTTGGTTTTGTTAACCAATGATGATTTATGGCCCTCTCCAGCACTGCCATACAAAACTGAAACCCTCTGAAAAATGGAACATGCTAAATTGAACTTTGCATGTTGCTCTGTTTTTTTGTACAAGAGGAGTGTATTATAGCTCTGGATGAGGCTCTATGGCACAAATGCAAGGCTCATTTTCCAGCTTTCAAGTTCTTGATACTAACCGAAGAAGCTCATCTTTGCCTGCTTACGTTACTCCACATATTCTACATTGGCATGATAAGCACAGATTTCCAGATGTTGCAAGGGGCATTGCTGTTTGCTTAATCTATCTTTATAAGAGTTTTGAAAGATTCGAGATGGCAGCAGGAGGTGCCACAGCTAGACAAAATCAGATGGAATCTCATTTCTGTTGGTAGTGAGCGAAGCTCAGTGATCTCTTCTAGTGAATTGTGAACATCTTAGTTAAATCACAAAAACAACAGCCACACCAAATTACTAAACTATGGACGAATCACAACAATCTAAGCAAGGTGGCTTTGTAAGTTCCACTTTGATCCACTGTGAAGCCCCAAACCAGAAGCTCATGACAGCCTCCAAATTGAGACAGAATTTAGTTTGAGGTAACCAAAAGAACAGAGAAACTTTTGATTACCGGAACAACAAAAATGAATAAGAGGAATTCAACAAAGGATACAAGAGGTGAAAATTAGAGAACTTTGTTAAAATGAAAGTACATACATGACATAATATTCAGCTTTGTCATGCTGTTAATTAAGACAATTCCCTAGTAAGCTTTCATGGTACCAAAGAAAACAAACCTTCTTGTCTATCTTGTCTGGCTAATAAGCAGCCTGTCTAACTCCTGCCTGAAAAAACACATGCAATCCAACTCCTTGCACTGCATCTTCAAATGGCACCTTCACCTTGATATTCATCAATGGTTTGTTTCATTGCATCCAACTGAGAGAGCACGTATTCAAGTTTCTTGCAACAGATTTCATTCGATATCCTTGAACTAGAATCACACTTCTCAAATGGGCGGTACTCACAAGCACTCTTGATTTCATCCCTCAATGTCACTTGGATATCCTGGTTTTTTTTTAAAAAAAACAGAAATTTGCCCATTATTTTAAAAATTCCAACCCCTAGAACTACAACTGGTGCTCCAATTCAATCTTTAAGAAAAGCTCAACAGCTCAAAACTCACAAGTTAACCTTAATTTAGATCTTATCAGGCAATTGAAGCAGAAGACAGATATAACAGAATGAAGCTCAAAAAAAGATGTAAGAAATCTGGGGAAAGCAGGAACCTTGATCATCTTCATGAATTCACGGCAATGGTTGTTGATGAATTCTTTCCTGGGACCCGTTGGGCTTGCGAGTTCATCCATGACACCTCCCGCCAGCTCCAAAACCCTAACTATTCTCTGCATCTCCAATCAAATCACCAAAGCTAAATTCCTTTTTATAATCAATTTTCATTAAAGAAATGGGAAATTTGAGATTAATCAAATTACCTTCTCCACATTTTGAAGTCGCTGCAACGAAGTGTTCTGAGTGGGAGAATCCATAGAACCTTGGCTTCTTAAGTTTTCAGCAGCGCAAAAATAACATCTTAGTAAAGATTCTCACCATGACAGGTTCAATACGCGCCGTTTTTGGCTGTTCTACTTCTATAGAGAACTAAACACTGTCCTCAAAAGTCAAAAGGCCACAGTACGCACGTGGCAAGACTTGATTGAGTAAGGCCTGAATTACCACGTGCAGCGGATATAAGCTACCAACCTAGATTTACTGAACCAAAGAAATAAAAATCCCATTTTTTGTTGTTAGACGAAAAATTCTGTAGGGAGAAGGAGAAAGAGCTGAATCATCTATGGCGTCCTCCAAGCTCCAAGCTCTATGGAACCACCCAGCCGGACCCAAAACCAGTGAGTTGACTCGCTCCCTTGTTTTAATCCGATAATTCATATAAAAGTCTTCGTCTCGATTGATTCTTTATGGTCATTTACTCGATTTGCTAAAAAAGGAAAAGTCTCAATTCATCTCGTTTTGTTTTTTCATCTATCATTTTTCTGGGCGACAAGATCGGTGCTTTGGGTCTTGAGATTTTCTATGAGCTAACGTTGGATGTTTTGCTTCGATTTTGGAATTTGGGTCGCTGAAGTTCTAAACTGTCGTTTGGTATTTGGATTTCTCTTTATTCTGTTTTTACTAGGGGTATGAAACGTATAGCTTGATAAGGTTTTATACTTTGATGGGTAAAGAAAACTAGTAATGGTGATATTTTTTTATTTATTTGTATATGTAGCTGAAAATTTTAATTGGTTTCAAATTGAGGCTGCTACCAGAATGTAGATTTGATGCAAAGAGTTGAGCTTCCCATAATTTGAATGCCTTGATAGATTTACTTCTTCTAAATACCAATCTCAAGATTTTGAGTTCTCAAAAATTATATGATAACAAACAAAGCCATATAGATTCTCAAGAATGGAGGAAGTTAAGATAAGCTAAAGGTTGCACCATGTAGAAAGAAGAGCAATATTCCATGAGTTCATGACATTCGAATATGAGTATCGGATTGACTTTATTGCATACCGAGTGAAGAATAGTTGCAACTATGAATCGGCATTTAGATTACGGAATCGATGATTCTTAGAGTGTGCATAAACTAATGGTTGTTTCATTGCAGTTCACTTTTGGGCACCAACCTTTAAATGGGGGATTAGCATAGCCAATGTAGCAGACTTCTCTAAACCACCTGAAAATCTTTCCTACCCTCAGCAAGTTGGTATGTGATGTTTTTTGAGCTTTAATGTACATTTATCAGTTTGTTGCACGTCTCACCGCCTTGTTGTACTTTCATGGGTGCTGCTGTATATTCAGGACTTATTTAATTTCTTGTACCAAGTTTTGACGTTTTTACTTCTACACCAAGGTGCAATTCTCTTCCAGTTTTCTGATTCTTGTTATCTGTTACCCAGCGGTTACTTGCACTGGAATTATCTGGTCGCGCTACAGCACTGTAATCACTCCTGTAAGTTTGATGATTGATTGGACTACCTGCCTTCTAACAATCCAGAAAGTTAACATTATCAAGAGAAATATGTGAAGAAAACTCGTGTACATGCAGATTCACACCCTATTAGAAGAAATAGAAAAGAAAAAGAACTGGGGTGAGATAAAGGGAGATGAAAGATGTTTAGTTGCTCACCTAGATCGCCGCCTTAATAGCAACCTTTTTTCTTCCTTCTACACTTCTCTTCCTGATTTTGCTCACAGCATAATGTGTACGGTGGAGATTTGGGTTGCTTTTGTTTCTCAGTCATTCCTTGATTCTTAACTGCAGAAAAACTGGAATCTCTTTAGCGTAAACATTGTTATGGCAGGAACGGGCTTATACCAACTAGCACGAAAAATACAGTGAGTCAACTCAACCAGTGATATCTGTTTCCCCTTCTGTATTCGAACTTTTGCAGCATGCTTTGGATCTATTGGCAGAGCAAGCAAAGAGATCTTTCTTATCCAATTTTTTTCAACAAATGCTTTGTTTGATATGTGACGTATGTCTGGCTAAATTATGTATACTTCCTCTCTTCCACCCTACTGATGGTGTTAACAAAGAACCTGAAACCCGAATTGCCTTTTTATGTAAAATCATAGGCTTCCATTCTGGAGACTGTTGAGAACTTTTCACAAAGTTCGTTTCCATGATCTTTCCTCCATTTTCTTGCTTGGTTATTATTGCCATTTATTTGATATGGCTGCCCTCTGATGCACAATTTTATATGTTTTTTTCCCCATGTTCAGGCATGACTACTTTGCAGAGGCCGAGGCAGAGCCAGCTGTTGTAAAAGAATGATGACAAAATCTTTCAAACTCCTTTGTTTTCTGGGGAAATATCAGTCATTTTGCTTCCTTGTTTTGCAGTTAATTAAAGTTCAGTTGTCCTTGACGCTTGCCCTTGTGGCTTTGAATTATTCAAGCATACTCTGTTGTGAAAATTTGTTAACTTCTTGATGATTGTCATTCTGATTTTAGAGCCATCAAGAGATATTGATCAACTGAAGTGTTAAAAATTTCTGATCAAGTAATAATTACTGCAGATCAATGGATTGCTTTGCAGGCTTTTGATCATTGCAATTTAGTAGATGAAGCTTGACTGAGAGTTAAATATTTCTTTCTCAATGCTGCATTTGGTAAATCTTATCGTTGTACACAATTGTTAATGGAGTCACGTGCCAGGTTCTTTGCCGAGAACCAGGGCATTTTCAACCAGTCTTTGCTTGTGCTAATCCATGAATTTAACCCAAATCCCACTAGCTTAAGATACCCTGCCATTCTAATGAATTTGACCTGCTATACACACTCCGATACATTTGGTAGGCATGTCACCAGAGTACTATAACAGCTGGGTCCATTTTGATAATGGATACAAAATATTCAGTCAGAAATATTTCCATAAAAAGCTATTGAGAGAACCAATTTCATCTGTATGTCCAACATATTCTGTCCCAAGGTGTCCTACAAAACTAAGGGGTGGGGGGAAGAACAATATTGGATGTCCAACAAAAAATAGATTGTCACTCTGTTCTCAATCAATACAAGTTTGCAATCAGCTCAGCGGGGAAGTATCAAGACTAAAAGTACAATGATAAGCCATTTGAATGCATTTAGCTTAAGACAACCAACAGCAAGATACAAGGCCGAAGGGAAAATTGAATCTCTAAAAAAATAAGCCATAAACAAGTAGGCCAATATGTCTACTTGTCATCTGCATCATTATATTAGCTCAATCGACCTCCACAGCTACACTCATCTCCCGACGCTACTTGATTTCACTCTTTCCAACTGTCCATCGCGATTTGATTTTGAATCAGATTCACCATCATGGGCTGTCAAACCCAAACTCAAATCCAAAGTGCTTTCATTCAGATCTTGTCGTACTATTTTATTATCCTCCTGAGACAGAATTGAAGTTAAGCCAATAGTAGAGGAAATCCTTTCAACTCATAAGGGAAAATTTTCAAAGTCATTCTTTATGGGGCTAATCAGTAGAAAATAAAACTATTCCTTGTAGCATTCCAAAATTAGTATAGACTTTTGTCAGTTACATGAAGATAGTGCTACAAAAGTGGAGGACCTCTAATAAATAGTCCCCATCAAATTGACTTCAGTTTCATTACTTTCTCTGCATATCAGTGTGTTGGTATGCCACTTATGTATTAGTTTCTTAAAGAACTCAAAGCAAGAGTCCTTGTTCTAAACGATCCCTGCTCCCCCAAGGAAAAGAGATCTAGAATGGCAGTTAGCTACTGACCTGACTTTCTTCCATAGGTACATCATTAATGTCAGGTTTTTCATCGAAACCGTCATTCCTGGAGGTTGGCTCTGGTGCACTAGGGTCAGCCTCGCTTTGTTTAGCTTCATCATCAACGTTTTCTTCAGCCTCATTTTCTGCAGCTTCTTTTTTCTGTTCCTCTAACACAGCGATCTGCATGTGGAAGCAGTCAAAGTAATTATATGTTCACAGGATCTGATTTCAGAGAATCCTAGAACTTTTTTCCACCTAAAATTTGATATGTAAAGCAGTTTGGCAGACCTATCAATGTTACCATTTTCAGATTATCTAGTCCAGATCTTAATATAGAATTACAAGTACTCAAAAGCATGCATTCTCTGTGTTGATATGAACAAAGGCATAAACATTGTGCATCATGCCCATGCAATAATTTGACAACCCAAAAAACAAATTGTACAATTGGCATTTTAACGGGAATATGGTGCCAAGGCAAGACTTGTGATGCCAAATGCCAAGTGGAATTGGCTGTCAGTAAGATTTTCCTATGCCATGTGTCATGCTAATATTCTTTCACATATTAGACTAGATCCGATAGTTTTAAGCACTATTACAACCACGTACAACTTAAAAGCAAGTGCAAAGGATGTGGTTAGAGTTACGACAAGTCAGGAAAAAGAAATGGGAGATAAGTCTCAACCCTCTTCCTTTTTCTATCTCCGTTCAAACAGTCACTATCATTATATTCTTGGTTTCAAAAGATTTCCAAACCTCGGGCTGCAATCTACATATCCTTTATACATAATTTCCAAATTAGCTATGCAATTAAAAATTTGCTGACAAGTAAGCTACAATTCCAGGTAAAGATCTTTGGTAATTATAAAACTGACAAGAGGTAAGCAAAAAATGGAGACCCTACATGCATCCAGCCCGGTGCAAAAATAAGTGAACAACAATTTATATGGGAACCATTCATCCCCTAAATTTTCAGTAAATGATCAAAGAAATAGAATATAATAAACATGATATAGGGTCAATGTATAGGAGTAGCAAAAGCTCAATTACCCAGCTTGGACTTTCTCTCTATCCATCCGTCACATTAGTCTTAAAATATCCTAAAAACCCTTTACTTTTTTCATTTCCACAAGCTTCAAAGCAACCACAGCAAGGTAACTCGCAGTTCCATTCAATCTAACCACAAAAGAAAACCCTCAGGACACTGTTAACCCAAAACCCCAGCTCACAGATCGAGTAATTTCAAATCCTAATTCACACTAAAACCCCACCAAGAAACTAAATACACTAAAAATAGCGCAAAAGAACATATACGCAGATATAAAAACTCTGTATCACATCCAAACATCGAAATTGATGAAAACCCAAGGAAGAAAATACCGGAATGTACTTAAATTTCCGCCTCGGCGGCTCCTCGGGCGCCGCCACAGCATCGTCCTTGGAGGAACTGTTGTTGCCATTGTTGGAATTGTTGTTGTTGTTATTGCTGTTGTTGTTGTTTTGGCTTTGCGAAATTGGGGTCCACTTAAAAAGGACGAGATGCGAACCGTTATTACCGTTAGAAGTACCGTTGCTGCTGAGGTGATTTTGAGAGTGATTACTGCTGTTGTTATTGCTGCTGCCGCTGCTGCCGTTGTTAGATGGGGAAACGTGAACCCATTTCTTCTTCCATTTCCTTACCGGCCCAGTGAACACCGCGGCCGGTCCGTACCGAGTGGAGGACCGCCCGAGTCGAGCCCCCACTCCTTCCATTAACTCGTCCGCGTTAGATCGGTGGCGAATTTGCCCTGACTCGCCCCTCAATTAAAAGGGAATTTTCCTTTTTTGTTTCTCTCTCTCTCTCCCCCTCCCTCTCCTTAGATCTCCCCTTCTTTCGTTCTTTCTTTTTTTAACAAGCAGACAGGTGTATCAATTTCTTTTGGGCATTTTATGTTTAAAAGCTCGGGTCAAATCGGGTGTTGCTAGTCCACGGTTACTACTTTAAGGGCGAATCAGAACCGTTCAAACTGTGGACTCGATTTGCTTTAGTAATTTTATTGCTTTTTATTGTGATATTGATTCTATAATGATTGGACGGTCCTTTCCCTATTGCTTAAAGTCATTTTCTTCTCCCGTTTTGGAAAGAATTTTACAATAATTTTTTTATTTTCAAAAAGCATATTATAAAAAAATTTAAAAGATATAAATTTCTCTAATTTAATATTTAGTGATATGATTTATTTTAATTTTTAAATAATTTAATCAACCGAAATCACATAAATTAGATATCAAATTCAAGAATTGACTTTACATACTAATATAAATATAATGAGAATTTTTGTGCTCATGCCTTCTTTGATAATGGTTTGGATTAATAATCTTTTGTTCAAAAAAGAACATTAAAGAGATAAATAACCCAAAATTTATAAATTATTATTGTTATTTTTTCTCGAGACATTTCTATTTAATTTTAATGAATTTGATAATTAATTAATATGACTGTTTTTTAATTAATCAATAAGTATTTAATTTAAAAAAGGGTGAAGTTTGGTTTTATGATATTAAAAAAAATTAGCTTGAAGAATCTTGAATTTTATTTTATGAAATTAAATTTGAAGTAGATGAGTTACTTAATCCCTCAAGTAAAATAAAGTAAGGTGCTTTATATTTTACAAATGTTATTCATTTAAGGTTAACACAAACAAAATATCATATAATGGTTCAAATTGCAAACTACTTGATATTGAGATAGGTGTTGCTTCGCATTTTGGACAAATTATCAATTAAAATTTTCATTTTTAGGAGAATTTTTTTTAAAATAATTATATTTTATTATTTAATTTATCAAATTAAAAAAATTATTTCATCTAATTTTTTAAAGCAATATCATAGTTTAATCCATGAAGAAAATAAAAAATTAAAGAAACAAAATAAAAACAAAGAAATTAGGAAATAAAGCGATTACTATTGGTTTGAGCCAAGTTTACTGGGCCCAGTCCAATCCAGACTGGGCTTAGAATGGATCCGGCTGGCCTGCCTCCTCATCTTTTTTCACATCTTCATATTTTTAAAAACGACGCAGTTTCTGCCGCCGCCTCCATTTTTTCCTCTTATTCGTCTTCTTTCTTCATTCTTTGGCCGCAGCTGCTATCCTCCTCTGCTTTTCAACCATCTACCGTCGCCGGCGACAGGTTTTTCCTCCCTCTATCTCCTATTTCTCTTCATTTGTTTTCCTTTTTTCTGCCTCATACCACTGCCGCCGGCGGCGGGGAATCTCTCATTCACTCTCTTTCTCTTTCTCTTTTCTCTCTCTAGCAACCTGCGAACTCTCTCTTTTTTTTTCCTTTTATTGTAATTCTTTCTGGTTTTTTTCACTTGATTTTTGTGAAATTTTAATGGGAACGCAAAGCTTGTTTTATGGGCTTTGCTCAAAATCAGTAATCCCATCACCAAAAAACCCGCGAAATCCATTATCTTCATCACCACCTTCTCATTCTTATCCTTCTTGTTTCATTCAATCGAAAAATGGGGTCTCTTTTAGAGCCCAATGTTTCCCAGCTTCACAAAGGTTAAGGTCTCCAAGCAGGTTGGAGTGTAAAAACAGTGTAGAAAAAGTAAGCAATGTCGTTTGTGAGAAGGAAGATTCAACAACATTGATTAAGCGGAAAAGGCTGGCAGTTTTTGTCTCTGGTGGAGGCTCAAATTTTAGGTCAATTCATCAAGCATGCGTTGAGGGCTCTGTCAATGGAGATGTTGTTGTTCTGGTCTCTAATAAGCATGGTAATTTTCACCATAACTTTGTTGTTCTCTTCTGCAATTCACCAGAATGGTAGTGTTCTTACTCTAATTTACAATCCACGAGTTACATACCCTTGATAGAATCATGCTTATAGGCTCTGAATCAAATTCATATATCTTTTGTGGGTGACTTGCAATTTTAAATGTTGAATTCTTGAGATTGGTAAAATGTTTTCTTGGAACTGTGCGAATTATATATAATTCTTTTTTCGTGATGGCAGCTTGTGGAGGTGCGCAATATGCCAGAGATAAAGACATCCCAGTTATTTTGTTCCCAAAAACAAAAGATGAACCCGATGCTCTGTCTCCAGATGACCTTGTTAATGTTCTTAGGTTGAGTTCTTCTTTCAAAAACTAATTATTTTGAATCTGGCACTTGTAAATGGATTGTTATCGTGTTACACTTAGTCCTTCTATGATATTGAACTGTTTGATGTAATGTAATCGGAAGGAAACTCTAGATGCGTGTGAAGACTTGTAAGAAAGTTTCTTTGCATTTTCTTATTGCTTTCAGAATTGGTAATCTTTTGTTCATGTATGATGTTTTATCTTACTCAGGAGATTTGAGGTTGACTTTATTCTTCTGGCTGGATATTTGAAACTTATACCCGTGGGGTTGATTCGAGCTTATCCCAGATCAATATTTAACATCCACCCATCTCTTCTTCCTGCTTTTGGGGGAAAAGGCTATTATGGTATGAAAGTGCATAAAGCGGTTATTGCTTCTGGAGCAAGGTATATATTCAGTATTCGTTTTCTTTTTAGTCTGCTCTGTACCTATCGAGTAGTTAATGGCACGGTGAAATTCATCAGCCCCTTGTAGTCAAGCTTTCTTGCTGTTTTGGATTTTGGTTAGATACTCTGGTCCAACGATACATTTCGTGGATGAACATTATGATACGGGTCGGATACTTGCGCAAAGAGTAGTCCCTGTGCTTGCAAATGACACTGCAGAGGAGCTGGCTGCTAGGGTTCTTCGAGAGGTAAGGTGATTTTATATGTCAAAAAAAGATAAGTAGTCATTAGCCAAAACCATTTTGCTGCCATCAACTTCACTTTGAATACATCATGAGTAGAATTTTGCAATAGTAAACTGCTTGCAGGACAGTGATGAAACTAAGTTATGGCTACCATCAAGCTCATGCTCCTGCACTGCAAATAAAAAGTCCATTCTGGATTTGGCAGCTTTCTGATGATTGTGTGGTGTGGTGCTTATAGGAGCATAAACTATACGTGGAGGTCACATCTGCTTTATGCAAAGACCGGATAGTTTGGAGAGAAGACGGTGTCCCTCTCATTCGAAGCAAAGTAAATCCCGAAGAATACTACTAACAGAATAATATCAATAGCTGCTTATCGTGTTTCAAGATGGGTAATGCTTTCTTTTTTTTTTCTGAACCTAAAACTAGAAACCTTCCCCTGACATTACTAAAGAGCCTTGCATTGCATCTGATAATCTGTTAAGTGAGTGTGGCATGTATCAGGATCTTTAAGCATTCTTCAAGATGGCAGGAAGTTCTTGTTTCTTTGCTCAGCAGTTGTTGTACTTTAGCAAATGTAATAGAATTCAGGTTTTTGGAAAATACAACTTGTCTGAGGCAATATTACATTTTATTAGCATTTAAATTCATTTTTTCCTTAAATATCAATTGAATAAGAGGAAGGATTTAGTTATATCTGTATAAGACTAATTATTTTTACATCATTTTATAACTTTACCTACGATTATTCGTATATCTATATATACATAAACATTCAAATTAATTTCATATTTCTATTGCATGGTTTGAGACTTTTTTTTTATTATATCAAATAAATAGTTGATTTAAAATTTAACCAAAAATCATCCAATTTTTAGTTGTGCTCTATTTATCTTGGTAAGATGGTATGCGTCACACTAGATCACATCTCCATCCCCTAAAAAGATGTGCGGCTGAGATCTTTCCCCCGTTCTCCCCCACTTTCCTTCAGATTTTTCCTATATAAACATAAAGCCTCTAGGGTTCCATTCAACGCAGGGACTCGAAACTCTCATTCTGGTTAGCGTTTCGTTCTTCTCTTTAAATCTCCTAAAAACGTTTCTTTTAATTTTTGTTTTCTTTTAAAGTTAAAACGGGAGCTACATGTACCAAGGGAAGGGTGTGAATGAACAGTACCCTTGATCTTGACCTGCCAAAGCGGCTGTAGCTAAATCGAATCAAACATGGCTGAGAAGCTAACTGGCCGGTTGTCGTGATCGGTTTCTTTATCGAAATCTCCGTCGACTAATCTGCTTACCGAGCTTCTTACATTTTCCCTTTTTTTTCTATTAATCTCTATAGTTGAGAAGGTGAGAAGGGGAGAGAAGAGTGGAATGGCATAGGATTTAGCCTTTTTCGTGAGGCCCTTCTCTTACAGCAAAAAATCGGTCACCTTCCAGGCAATCTGCGTTTGCTTCTCTGCAGTTTTGCGTCGATCGGTGACTATATCCATTTTTTCTTCCTTTCTTTTCTTCAAAACAAGATTTGTAAATTAATTTGACAAAAGAAAGAGGAGAATTTGATTTTTTTTGAAAAATTTAATTAAAGTTATCAAAATCATTTGTGATGGTTTAATCACATGAATAAATCAATGAGTAGATCATCTTATATTGAAAAAAAAAACATGTATAATCGAATGTTACGAGGTTTGTTGGACGATCTATTGAGCTAAAAGATATTATAAAAATTAAAAAAGCTATTATTTATAATCGGATCGGATTCGGATAACAAATACTTCAAATATTATCTCACCAAAAATTCAAATTCTAAGGATTGTGGACGTGAATTTGCCAAGTGTTACAAGCTTTGGATGACCAATGGAAAACCCAGATTTTTGCCTCCAAAATTGGATTTAGAATGAGCAAGTTCAATGAACCAAAGATTATGTCTTGGTACGATGATTTCTGATTGAAACGATTTTCATGAGGAAGGTTAACTAATCCATAATTGTTGTTAACTCAGTCTCATGCTTCCTTAACATTAGCTTGTGCACCTAAGCATTTGAACCAAGTCAAAGCTAATTGGGATTCGAATGACTGCTATTCCAGCTTGGTACATTGAGAGGAAGAAAGCTTATCTTGCTGTCAATGGAGAAAAGCTTCCAACTTGCAGCAATGAACCTGATCCTTGTCCATCAACAAGAACAGAATGCCCTTGTTTTTAATCTATATTAGAGGAAAGCCCATGTCAAGATTTTGGCCTAGTTTCAATGGTAATGGGCTTGCCTAGTTTCAAAGGCATCAACCCAAAAAAGCAACAAGAATAAAAAAATCAAAAAGGGTATGTCTCTCTTTCTTTGCCTCGAATGCTTCAAAGTCTAAAACAGATTCCCAGTCATCCCTAGTTTCGTTATTCTTTTAAAGGGTAAACTTTGTTTTCTTTATTATTTAATTCCAGCAGAGAATAATGAGATCTATCTCTGCTAAGGAGGTTCGATTTTTCTTCTTCTTTTTCTGTTTTTTTTATTCCTTGTTCAGTAAATTTCTAACTCAGTGTAAAACCAAAATTTGATAGATGTGGTTTGTTTTGTGTTGGGGAAGTGATTGTTGTTCAATTTGGGGTAAAGGGTATTTGTAATCTGGGATCTTGAATATCCTCATACTGGAATTTGAGTGTTCTTGTTGTTGTAGCGTGATGTAGCTGAATTTTTGGATTTAATTGCTTAAAGGAATTCTCGAGTTGTTGCGACGTCAATGACGGATAATGCTTAATAGATAGCTTAAGCAATGGAAATCTTTGGGTATTGGTAAAAACGAGACCTTGATTAAGCTTCTTGATCAATGCCTGATTTATTTCATGTTCAGCTTATGTATTTTTTGGTTTATGGATTGAATATCATTCATAGCAAAATTGTCGATTTGATCTTTATGTTGTAGCTTATTACTTTCTCCTTAGCTTAGGCAGGATTTTGCCCTTAACTTATGAAAGGATGTAATTATGCTGTGTTTCCATTTATTTCTCCAACGCTTCATCATAATATTGGAACTTGTTTTTTACAGGATATGGTTTTGAAGGGTTTATGAGCTCTGCAATATTCTGAGGCAGGAGATCAATTGAGTGTATTCCCCATTGTATGCATTTATAGCAGAGAATGGCAGATGGAATATCAAGCTTTTGGGGTCCTGTCACATCTACTACCGAGTGTTCCGAGAAGAATTATGCCTACTCCTCTTACATCGCAGAATTTTACAATACCATATCAAATATCCCAACCATTTTTTTAGCACTCATTGGCCTTGTAAATGCTGTAAGACAAAGGTTTGAGAAAAGGTTCAGCATTCTTCATGTATCTAATATGATACTAGCTATTGGAAGCATGTTATACCATGCCACCTTGCAAAGTGTGTAAGTGACAATCTTGGCTATCCATTCTGTAGTTCAGAATTTATAGATAGTTGGCTGATCTAATGCAGTATTTTGCTTTATGCTCTGATTTCAATCATTTTGGTGTATCAATTGATAATCATGTGGACTAATAATGTTTTGTGTGATAAAAAGCTCATGTGGAACTGGAAGGTGTGAGAAACAGTTTTCTTGACATGCATGCTTTACTTAGGCATAGAATGCGTCAATATGTATTTTTTCCCTTAAGCTGTAGTGGTATCTTCTTCGGGGATGGTAATTGTTTGATTGATTTGCACCTGAAGAAAACTACTTTTATTTTTTTCCAGGCAACAACAGAGTGATGAAACTCCTATGGTGTGGGAGATGCTTCTATATATGTACATCCTTTACTCTCCAGATTGGCACTATCGCAGCACAATGCCCACTTTCCTTTTTCTCTATGGTGCTGTTTTTGCTGTTGTTCATTCCGTTGTTCACTTTGGCATTGGCTTCAAGGTGCATTATGTGATTCTCTGCCTTCTCTGTATCCCTCGAATGTACAAGTACTACATTCACACCCAAGATGCCTCTGCTAAGCGGCTTGCGAAGTTGTATACAGCAACTCTTTCCCTTGGTAGTTTGTGCTGGTTCTGCAATCGTGTATTTTGCAAACAGATATCAAGATGGCCAATCGATCCTCAGGGTCATGCCCTATGGCATGTCTTCATGGGTTTCAATTGCTACTTTGCAAACACGTTTTTAATGTTCTGTCGTGCTCAGCAACGGGGATGGTCCCCAAAAGTTGTCTATTTTATGGGCATTCTCCCCTATGTGAAGATTGAGAAACCAAAAACTCAATGACAAATTGAGGAGGAAATTCTGCAGTATAGTATTCCTTTCCCAGCAGTTGGAGGTAGGCAAGTAAAGCAGTGAAAAGGTCAGTCTAAATTTTTTGTTCATCTGAATGGATCCAAAGGATGATTAATGATCCAAGTTTTTGGTGAGGATTTTGTTGAAATTTACTTTGTGCAAGTAGAAGATGTACCATACTTAAATCCTTTTGTTAGATGTGTCTTAATAGTTAGGTTTGTTTTTGTGGAATGTGCAATGCTGAGGATTAATTTGCCTTCGGACGCAAGGCAAATTATGAATTTTGGTTCTATTAAATTCTTCTTGAATTTGGTTATTAATCAAGCTTAAGTCTCCTCTTTAGCATGTTTTAGATTGTTTATATGCAATTTTATTCAACCAAGCTATGCATTTTGCATTCACCCTTCCTCTCATGATACCTTTTATGAAGGGTAATTTGACAGCATTACATCCAGATCAAAGTGCCTCTGGTTTCTCCTTGGCTAATGTTGATTTGGGTCCAGAGTGTTCTTCCCAGTTCTCTCTTCAAATGGAAAACACACCATTTCTGGGTTCGATAAGCTTTTCTACTTATTTGGGCATGAATGACCCATGCACATCTCTTGGCACGAGTCAAGTTGAAACAGATTGAACAAGCGATCTATATCAGAGACTAATCTGGCTACCTACCCAAGCAGTTTAATCTAAAACATGCCAAATCCTAGAAACAAAAATGGAAGGGGGGGTTCAACAAGTTGAAGCTACTGGTTCAAGCATCAACCTCATCAGAATGATTGGGCTTGTTTAGTTCTTTGCAATACTCAAAACCGATGGCAAAACAAAATTATTTGGCTTAAGGTTTGATGTATATTAATTAACAAATAATTGCTTAACATACACTATACAGAGTGAGAGCATAAAGAATAACTCTTGGCTAAAAATATTTGAATGGTAAAACAAGGACAACACCATATACAAAGCACTTTCTTTTCCTCCTTTGTTGTTACACCACCATGAACGATACATGCTGGAGAAAGAAGGTAATAGCTGGTACAGAATTAAGCCACATATTTATGAATGTCCAAGTCTTTCCTGTAAGATCTGCCCGAGCTTCACGAGAAGAGTTTGCTGCTCCTCAAAAGTAAGGCTCGTCAATATCTGCATCGGAACGAACACTAAGTATAAGCCCAGGTATACTTATATCATTTGTTGTTATGAACGTGAAGTGAAAATAGAATAGCATCAATAAGCATAACACTGTAGATTTTTACCTGGTCCAAGATCATTTCGATTGAGATGCCTTCACGCACAATAAATGACTGGTGATAGATATAGGCAAATACTGCCATCACCATCTACATTCAATGACCCAATAAGTCAGTGCTTGCATAGACACATTGAAGCAACATTCTAATAAAATATTTCATCAAATACATAAACATACAAAGACATTCAAGAGGTCATCCCTAAATTCGTTAGAACTTCTCTCTAAACAAAATACAGATAATCATCAGATATGACTCTCGAGTTCATAGTTAGAAGACTTGATTGTTTCTAATTATTCTGTTGAAAACAGTCCAATTAGTACTTTTACCACTTACAAACCTCACAAGGGTATAGGTTAATACAAGAATTCTTTCGTAAACAGACACCGGATTTAATTGAAAATGTTGAACTACAATAAAAAAGCCTCAATTTCTCACCTGGCAATCCATTCTATCTGTAATTCCACCATGCCCAGGAATACTATCACCAAAATCCTGTAGCAATATCGAAAGGAGTTAACAGAATATACTTGAGTCAGAATCTCAAAGAAAGCTATGCAAAAATCTGTATGACATGAGAATAGGAAAGGAGTTCACACCTTGATTTTAAAAGCTCTTTTGAAACCACTTGCGAAAAAGCCCCCAAAAGGTGCTATGATTGAGGCAAACAAACCAAGGCATAAAGCATGGCACTGAACTGGCAGAACAGAGATCTCTTTCCAAGGAATCTGCAAAAAAAGAATAACAAATAATGGAGTTGAAGGTTTCCATTTTTGAATGACAACTAACTTTCTAACCTAACCCTATCCTGTCCCATCAGCAACCTTCATTGTCCATAATAAAGTTCCAGACCTAAGAATTTGACCACAAGCTTTAAAGACACCCAAGTACTTTGAGTTGGGGTGATAATCATTCAACTAATTGGGATTGCTGAAGACACTAAAGATTTTTAGAAGGCTTAATATATGTAACTAGAAGGAATGGGCATATGGCATCTCATCCACCGAATGGTTAATTTTTTAGTAAGAATCTGCTGACAGCCTGTCTGAATTCAAACATCTGGTCTTTTCCCTTTACTTGGGGAGTTTGGAACCATCAGACTAGAAGTTCAAAGTGACATACTTTTATGGGAAAGTTAAAAAGTAATCCTCTCTTTTCAAGAACACCAATTCATACCAACTGGAGGCATAATTAGGGCAAAAAATTCAGATAGAATCAAATGTAAGCTTACCCATTGACTAATCCATCCTGGTAAAGTATAAGACTCTGCCTTAAACAATGGACCTGGGTCACATTTAAGCCAACCGGTTGATAAATCCTGCAAGCATTACCCTCACACCATAAGTGTTCCGAAAAAGGAATTGGCATGCTTCTTGAAGGATTAAGCGTAGGTTGAATCCAATAGTTACCTTCCTTGGACAGGTTAGCCACTGGAAACGACCCATGATATTTGCAAGCTGCATATTCAAAAACTCATTTCATGTTTATGAGCACATACTAGCATGAAAATCTATACATAAAACAGAAGGCACATAACACAACTTCTTCAGTTCCTTTAGAGGTTCATAAATTTAATCTATTAAACTGGTCCAGACATGTAAACTATCAACCATGACTCCTAAAGCTAATCCAATGCAGACAAGAAAAAGGAAATAATAAAGAAAATGACAGGCCCCGTAACGCAACCAGTAAGAAGGATCAATCATATTGCCCACATTAAAAATGCTACATCTGCCATGCAAAAAGTAAGAACTGACTATTACTGCATTAAGCTTTTCACAAAGAACCTAGTTAACTTGAATATTTATAGTCTCCTAGATGATTGCATTCTATTTGACATGTGTAACTAGTGTATTTCCTATCTAGCGATGTAAAACTGGCAGAAGATAAATGAAACCCTAATCACAAACAAGATGGAGTCAACTCCAAAATGGAAAAAATTGTGCTCACCATGAACGCAGAGATGATAGTTGTGACAGATGCTCCAATAAATCCCTCCCATGTTTTCTTTGGAGATAATTTGATTAATGGGGTTCTTCCAAAGAAGAAACCAAAGATATAAGCAAAAATGTCATTGATAACAATAAGCGATGCTGGAAGAAGAAACCTGGAAAAAAAATTACTTCTCTGGGTTAAGCAAAAAGAAGAAGAAGAAAAGAGAGAGAGAGAGTACAGTCAAAGAATCAACAACATTCAACTGATTGCATAAATAGCTAGAAGGTTACAGATTACAGTTTACTATAGAGACAAATTACCCAAATGAGACCCTTTTTATTTTTTCTTTTTGACTGTGTACAAATGGATGTGCACATCTGTGTGCAAGTGCACTATGTAGGAAGGAAGGGTGCTTGAGAAAAGAAGAGTTACCAAAAAATTCCTTCAAAGATATTGGCAACAGTAAAGGATGACTGTGTGAACACCACAATCAGAATCATATGTGTCCATGCATACTGGCCAAATTGATACTTGTACATCTTCTTCTTCAATGTAAGAATAAACCACATAAAACCTGATCCCAAAAACCAAAAACAGTATAAAGGATATCAGCATTCAGTGGTCATATGTAATTATATATAAAGGGAAATTCAAGGTACAATCACCATAAATAACATGTAAGAAGAACATCAATCATATAAGAAAATAATATAGATATTTACAGAAAAAGAAGACATCTATTCCCACTTTGCTTGAAATTAAAATTTAGGATATCAATTGATGAATGCTTGACATAATTATTCCTCCATGTCTTTAAATCAAAAAACTTAAACCAAGATGCTTAACCAACCTGCAATGTATGAGAAGTAACAGATAGCCATATGATACTTGATAAGGCTGCTAACAAACTGATACAAAAATTTATCTGAAGCTACAGTATTAACGAGTGGTTGACTGAGAAGGCGACCATAGACAAATAACATTGCAGTGAAGAAGAAGTGCCTGCACCCATAAAATAGAGATGAATACATTCTAATGAGATGCAAGCAGAATGCTTGTAAGATTCAAGACTAATTTCTATGACATGTAAAATCTTGGTTGCCATATGAATGGTAAAAGTAGTATTCTCACCAATTTAATAGCCTAAATCCTGGAAGATGTGTATCTTCATGTGCTTTCCTGAGTAGATTGAACAGCTCCTTTGCCATATATATTTGGATAACCACCACCATAGCTGTTATATAGAGATGACCCATGTAGACAATTAATGCAAAACCCCCAATCATCCAAACAGTAGAGTATGTCCGAATCCACATTGATTTGTATTTGTTACGGTCATCAACAAGCAAATTTCCACCATTTGCTTTGCTAGGTTCTGGAACCACCTGATAGCATATTTGAATTTAAAGGAGTTTAGAAAAAAAAAATTGCCTTGCTTGCAAAGGGAAAGTCTCATTTACAAATGCGACAACACAGCAGCTCATGACCATAAACATGAAAAAGGAACTAAATAAAAACACATCAGCAGTTGAGTAACCAACCTCATTGGATCGTTTACGGTGCCGAAACCGAACAGCAGCAGCTGATGGGGGCGCTGTATTATTCTCCTTTTGCATGGCTCTTTACTTTTAATGCCAATTAACAGAAACACACATATATTTGTATTGCGGGAAAAATTTGATGCCTGAGCTACCAAACTACACACTCCTAAGGAGAAGACAACCAGGACAGCACTGAAAGAAACATGAAGAATTCTATTAAGCCAAGTGACATAAGGAAGATGACTTAGCTTAATGCAAGGATGGAATCTAGGACACCATAATAGTGACAAATTTTCAGCAGGAAAGCAGTAATCAGCCAGTTGAAGAAATGACACAAAGCAATAAAGCATAGGCACACAAAAATCTCTTACATATGCATGCAGCAAACAATTCAGTAATGATAATCACTTCAAACTTTTTTCTGGAACATACTTCAACATTCACATTGCCGCACAGTAAATGAAATGTAAAGCCTAACATTCACAATGCCTAAACATTAAAGATAATAAAAAGACATATCATAGACAGAAAGCAGCTGCTTATTCAAAATATGCTGTTGAAAAAAAATGAAAATTACATCAAGGCCAAAATCATGCACATCATATGTTTTTAGGTATTCTTTCATTCAATCCAAATCTTACCTTTTTTATACCTTATAGGACCACCTACTAAAGTTGTTCTCACTGGATAGTCATCTGAACTAATAAAACAGACCAATACCCCACACGACACATTCTCATTCAAGGAGCTACCTCATTGTCAACCCCCCTCCCCAAAGAAAAAGGCAAAAGAGAGAGAACAAAAACCACAAAAAAGAGTTTTTTATTTTTTAATGAAAATTGAAAGATAACCTTGGTTTTGGAATTAGATGCTCCACTCATATTTTTAGACAAATAGTGATATTCCAACAAGATTAGAGCACCGCAGTAAGTGTAGGGTGGGAATACTTGACAAGGCCACATCTTTATTCCTTCTTTCAGCTAGGCAATATTCAAACCTTAAACTACTCTACATAAAACTCAGGCACAAACCATGAAGTGAACTTTTTGATATTGAAACACAACTTTTGATTGGGTTCAAACAAGAGTTTCATGGATTCAACCATAACCTAACATATATAACAAACATATAAAGAAAAAAAAAGCCAACCCGAGGAGAAAACGATACCTAAAATAAGAAAGAAATTGACCAATTAGAGAATATATACTACTCCCACTGAGCTTCCCATGACCAAGATTTAAACTTTCCTATTCCAGTTTCCACCAGCAAGCTTAAAAAAAAAGGATAGAACTTTACTCAAAACTCTTAAGCTATTTAATTACAAAAATCTATAGAAACTAAATCAAATAACACAAACCCAGAAAAAAGGAGCCAACTAAACTTAAATTTAACACGTTAAAAAATGAAAATAACAAATCTGAAGCAGAAAGAAACTCATTTTCTTGAACCTATAAGATCGAAAGAAAAAAAATTTTAAAGCTTCAAATACATAAGAAAGCACCATATGAGCAAGAGAGACAGAGAGAGAGTTGGAAACCTGGGCTTAGCTTTACTCGCAGTAAATATTCGAAGCCGGCATGAGAGGCGAGAGCAAGAGAAAGAGTGACAGAGAGAATAAGAAAGAACAATAAAAGAGTAAGGACGCCAAGCAAAGCAAAAGGGGTGACTTTTTTGGGTTACTGATTTTCTGGAATATTAAAACAAGTATTATAAAATTATTATTTATAAATTAAAAAAAAAAACAAACAAACATTGTCCTCTTTTTTTTCTACTTGGAAAGGAGCAATGCTAGAAAGACAGCTGTTTCAGATTTAGGTCTGATCATCTTTTTTCCACGTGGACCACATGTTTCAGGTCACACATGGAAAACTTGTTTTTGGCTGAGTTTAAAATTTCGACCCCTCTACTTTTCTAAAATATCATCTACAGCCAAAAAACTTTTAACTTAATGGCTAAATTATTCTTTGTTATGTAGTCCAAGTTACTTATCTGTCTAAAGTTAAGAAGAAGTATCAGCAAAGTCACATTCAAACAATCACTGCAGGCTTGCTGGAAAGATGTATCAAATGTGAAGAAGATTTCACTATATCAATCCATCTTGAAAATGGACACAGGAAGATGCTGCCTGGTGTAACTTAATGGTTCTGGGAATTTTTTGTTCCTTGAACCCTTCTCTTAATCAAATTTGGTAACCCAAGAGTTGCAGAGTAGACTGATTTTGATATTCAAATCTTGCAATGTCAAGGGTGTTTTTTGGTTGAAAAGCAAACACCACACAGCTCACATGGAGAACGCTAGTTACAATCTGTCCCACTTCATTTTTCAATCTCAGATTTAGTTGGATGTATGATTATTATTTGAGTATACTTGAATCTGTGGACATGTATAGCAACCCACCTGCTTTAAATAATCATTCTTATATCTGTGGGAAACCTTTAAATGGAGATACCCGGATACAAACTGGCAAAGAAACAGAACAAGTTACCTGCTAGATTTGCATTTCTAGGTGCTTTGAAGATGGAAAACGTTTGGTTTGTTTCTTTTGAGACTTTTTGGTTGTTTGACTCTTTCCTTAATGGAACATGTGTCTGCTATTGGCAATTGAATTTTGGAGTTGTCAGGGGAGAAGATAGAATCAGTTAGTCCATTTAAGGCGTAGCTGCAGCTGCCAAGATAACTGCAGAAATGGAAGAGCACATGGGAGAATCTAAAAATTCTTAATGAGGTCAACCTGCCCGGCAAAGATATTGATGAGTTTCTGCTCATTCCAAAATAATTTCATTAAGTTGAAGATAGAATGTTAAATATCTGGCTGCCCAAAGATATAAAGATATGGCAAAAAACCTGACATGTTCCTGGTTGGAATTGCAGAATAGGTTCACATTCCGAGAGCGTTACTTGCAACATGATATCAAGACTCGCAGAAGCAAATGGCGATACCAGCATTAAAGAAAGATAGAGCAAAGGGCAGCATCATAGGCATTAATGCAAGCAGAAGATTTTGAGGCTCTGCTAAATTTGAGAAGCTTGTTCCTGTTTCCAAGCAATTCTACTTTCATAAAATTGGTAGGGAAGATGCATGGAAATTTGAAACACCCCATTTTTCACAGACAAGGAAATGTCACATCTGCACCCATGGAAGTTCTTTTCTCTTTTATCCTGTTTGATTCTGTTGTTTTTCTTCCTTGATGTTTAGTTATTTTCTGGAGTAAGCAGCACCAAGCTCTAATTGGTTTGGTTGCTTCTCCCTTTTTCATAATGTACAAAACTGAAAATTTTCTTGGAATATCACATTTATGATCTAACAACAACATTTGCACCTAAAAATTGTATGAACGCTCTCTTGCTCGATGATGTTCTGTTATTAGGTGTTAGAACTTGTAGGCCTCACTTCTTCCATAGGCATCGATTCACCATCGTGCTAGACATACAGATGTGGTTTTAAGCGGCTAATCATTCAATGATTTGTGTACTTTGCAAAATCTATACCTCTTAAACTGAGATTGGAGCCCATTATTGCTGCCGCATGCCAAAGAATTGTAGTCTGTTAGTTATGAGATGGTACTGCCTGGTAGTCCAGGAATGTGGACCAGATCAGCAATTTTGAACTAGAGTTTTGAAGAAAGAACCAAGGGTTAGTAACTCAAGGCCATGGCTGATCTTTACACTCAGATCAATATTGAGCAATAGCTCTTCTTAGCTCATGAGAAGCAACAAAACCTATAATCTTGATAGCATCTAATAAGTCCTGCCCTGTGGTATTCTTTGGCCGGGTTTGTGCTTTTGTACGCTTGCAGCTTGTCAGTCAAAACAGTAATTAAGACTTCATCTTTCCATCTTGCTTAAGCAAAGTCCAATTGGCAAACGTAGAAGCAATGATCCATTAAATTTTCCAACTTTTCACATGGTGCAGCCGCACTCAGTGGATGCTGCCATGCCCAAGAAAACAGATAAAAGGTACCTGTCACAATTAGTCTCTTCATAGAGCTCCAAATGGGGTAATTGGAGAACTTTCTTGGATGAGTCTATATCTCAAATGCAGCAGAGTTTTCGTTTGTTCCAACTGTTCATTTTGCATCAGACAAAAAATGGATATCAAAGAGCACTGAATCCTCTGATTCCATAAATGTGGAGAGTGTGCTTGTCGTATTGTCTTCTTCTTGAATGATCTTAACTATAAGTCACCTTGCTTTCATCACTGGTTTTTGTCAAATTAATGAAGTTGGATTCGAAATTCTTGTTATATTAGAGATGATGAAAGATTAATAAAATTAACAATGATCATACCTAAGCTCTCGTTGTTCTTCATTGACAACCCTCCCTAGATGCTCCGTCTTGAGACCCCCCTTTGCTGTATATAATCGCCTCAGAAAAACTAATCCAAGCTCTCCCAGTTTTGCTAATCATCCATGCTATTTGTCATTGGTGGTTTTATTTCCTGAGGAGACGTCCAATGGGAGCAAAAGTAAGCAAGCGCTCCAGCTCAAAGAGAGAAACTAAGGCATTGAGTTCAAATCATAGATCATCCACAATTGAAGAGATCAAGCCCGAATGCTTGAACAAGAAGAAGACGAAGAAGAGCCAGAAAAGACAGCTGCAATCACCAGAGAAGAGGATTATAAAGGTGCGGAATTTGACTCTGGAGGACTGGCTATTAGCTTCTCCCGGTCCTGCAGGAATGAAGCCTGATTGTCTCAATGGAGGCGAACTTTATGTCTTCAAACAGTTCTCTAGAAAGGTACATCTATCTTCTTCTAGAGCACCCCAAGCTGTTCTCTCCACACCAGCAGACAGTTTCTCCGTGGATCTTTATTCGGGAGATGCTTCGTGTTCTTCGTTTAGCAGAAGCCAAAGTGGGAAGTTGAAGAAGAAGGTGAGCTTTAGGTTGCCTGAGAAGGCTGACATTGTGGCATTTAACTCACCGGCAGGGGCATTTGGGGGTGATCATAGATCCTTTTAATGTCTGCTCTCCTCCTGCAGGCTTGCTGCCTGACATTGGTCTTACCTGATGTATCTTGCTTGATTATATAAATGGTCAAAATCTTTCTCATAATCACCTTCTCTTTCAGGAATTACATACACAGGACTTTGATCCAGGTCTCATTTTAAGAGTTTAATAACCATTGGCACCTACGCCAGGGCCTATTGCCATCGGATCAAAATTGATTAGCTCGATTCTCTGTTACAAATCTTTAATAAATTATTCTTTTTGGGATTCTTATTATTCTTCTTTGAAGCTTGAAACTGGGGGCTAAGGGGAAGAGAGGAAAAAGACAGTGTAGGTAGAGCACTGAAGTAGAATGTAGGGGGCGGCTGGCCTTTTGCTAGAGTTCAAAAAGGACTGGCTGCAGTACCACCTAGGCGGAGCTTCCGACGATGCGGCAAACCCCAGATCTAATCAAAGATAAATGGGACCATGAGTTGGCAGATCATCTCTAGCTAGCTAGATTCCAAGGGAAAATATTAAAGATAATCTGCTTTGTCAAAACCCTGAAAAGTGACAAAGAGCAGAGATGACAGACGGAAGTTACACCACTCAAAATATTACTCATATAAGGCACTGGCATCGACAAGGCAGAAAGCAATTTCTCCCCCCAACAAAAAAGCGAACTTGAGGTGGCTCATTCTCGGCCGTGTACGTATCTATACTCACAGATGGGCAACTGGAAAAGTTTGGTTGGAAATCGTTTGGCCACGATTCTTTTTCTATCTTTGTCAGTTCTTTCTGTGATGCTTTCTTACATGGAAAGTTGATATGCCCACATGCTGTCAAACGTAAAACCCGAAAGCAACAAGCCAACAAGTAGACATTTCATGCTTAGAAGATGCTACCATGCACACCAATTTAATGCATCCATGGCTATGGGCCTGCGGCTTATGGCAGATGTTTGGTAAGTAAACCGTAGAAAATTAATTGGCCTGTTAATGCAGTACTGTTGGAAGGGGAGGTGACACTTTTCCATCTCGTGAATCTAAATGAGAATCTAGAAGAAATAAAGAAAATGTTTTTCGTATTGCTTTCCCGAGTCCAAACATCAACCATTCCCATTCATAATCAAATCTCATATGATAATGTATGCAATTGCAATGTAAAGAAAGTAGATTGAATAAAGAACATTCCCTTTTGTTTTTTGCCTGAAGAAAAGCTGAAACAATGAAAGAAAGGGAAGGTTCTCGTTAAGGCAAGCAAATCCGCGTAGAATGGTAGTTGTTGGTTGTTACTCCGTGAACCATGTTGTGCAACTTTCGACCAACCATAGGTTATGTTTGTCATTAGGGATGAAGCCAAGAAAGAGATTGGGCCGTGCATGGAGAGCCCTGCAAGACCTTGAAGAGTGGGAACTTTCAGATAAGTTTTGTGGGCTCACACCAACCATTCCTCTTGTGAGTCTGTTTCGTGTAGGAAATTACCTGGAAGCCTTTCCTGACCGTGCGAAAACGCGCCCCTTTCTTGCTCAACACACACTTCAGCTCTCCCTTTCTTTCAATCTCAAAGGAGCAGCTTTTCCCAGTTCCCCTGTTCAGTGACAATGGCTATCGTGAAGATGGTGATGGCTCTGGTTATCATGGCAGTGAGTCTTGGAGGGAAACTGGTCGTAGCACAAGTGCACCATGTGGTCGGAGGTGACCGTGGGTGGGACCCTTCCTCTGGCGTGGCATCTTGGTCCTCCGGTAGGATCTTCAGGGTCGGAGAC